GAAGAGTGAGGAGAGTTCGGGTGGTCTCTTGGACAAATCACCCATTCGGTTTTCCACAATAGGGTCTGCACGCAAGGGAAGGCGCAAGGGGAAGCAAGAGGTTCTCCCCGTGGACCGACCCATGACGAGATCCTATGCCCGGGCCCATAACAGTTTACCTCTCAAACCAGACCCAAAATGCTGAGCAGGGCATTTCTAACATTATCTCTAAAGGCACCCCCCCCCCCCACATGATGGACCAAGATTCTCAATGCAAACCCACCAATATCCATTCTCATCCTCCTATTCTCTGGTACCTCCCGTGCTTGAAAAAACTGACTTCTACAATTGTCATGACCAGCCACCACTGCCAACCACTTAATCTATAAATACATTCTTGAATTCCACCCAAGTGATAACCCAACTGACTACACTTACTAACACTAGATCAATCTTCATACACTCCAAAGAACAGCTGTCCATGTAATGTCCACATGATTTTCCCTCTCTTCTTGCATAGAAAGATCAAGTTAGAGCTGAAAAATACCAAGACATCAGATGGAGTCCAAGAAGCTCAATAGAGAGAAAAAGAGGTTTCATATATAAGCTATGAAAGAACAAGTTAAGAATAGATTATTGATATTCTCATCACTATCTAAGCAAAGGAACACACAAGGGGAAAGCTCCAAGCTTTCCTTCTTCATTGGAGAATCTCATTTGTATTGATTATCTTCAATGTGTTTTTCCAGAAAAATGCTTTGATTTTTTCTTTTTGGTGCAGGACTCTCCAAAATAACTTTTGCCAGGAAAGACATGGAACTGGAGAGGATGCATCCATACTTTTGAAGAAAGAAGACCAATAGAAGTTTCAAGAAGAATCAATCGCCCACACCCTTAGATCTAGTCATCTGCCTAAAGTAAAAACATTTAAGGCCTCTTCTAAAACCCAAGTCCAAGCAATTTATTTGCATTGGCAATGTAACATCACCAATCATTCCCTGAAATGAAGTCCTACTAAAAGCCCATGAAGGAAAGGAACAATCTAAATTCAACCAACATAAGGCAGAACAAATTGATAGTCCTAACAATTAACATAAAATCACTTCATGATCCAAGTAGCATTTGCTATTGAGAGTTAAAGAGAAGAAATTGATTCAGCGAGTTGCATTATAAAATTGTTATAAGCATTGAGCTATGACCATCCAAGAATTTGCTGAATGCTTGAACAGGGAAGAAGCTTGCTCTTGATGGTACAACACGCTAGAAAAGAGTTGCTCTTGATGGCACAACACGCTAGAAAAGAACTTAATTCTTCTTTTTATTATTAGATGAGATCAAGGACAGGATCCTAACTCAGAATATCAACCCCTTATGACAATGCTTTTTGGTGAAAAAAGAATTCAACGAAAAAAAAATCAAGAAAATAAGGAGAATAAATCCGACTAGAATCTCGATCTACAAAACAACCAGCTCAGTTGTGGACATTTATCACACATTGGATCTAAAAGTTAGCAATTCTCTTAGAAAGTGTAGGCATTTCAACTAAAAAATGAAAAAAGTAAAGAAGCTGGGTGAAAGACCAAAGTAATAACAAGAGAATACAGAACCATACCTGTCTCAAGAATCATGGAGAGATAAGAATTCCTTCGTTTCTGGAAAGCTTTGAGACTCACAAACCCAGAAAGGAGGAGCAGAAATCCTGCACTTAGGCCTCCACCCATGGAAGTTATCCCTCCGACCATCAAAACTAACCCATATGGGATCGTTAAGCAAAAATCATGCATCTTGAAGATTGAACTTTTGAAGAAAAAGGAAAAAGATCAATTTTCTAAAAGAATTAAATTAATTTCCTAGATGAAAAAGAAACACTTGATCGCCTGAGGTGGGTGCTAGCTTGTGGTGGGAACGTAGAATTCAGTTGGTCAAAGTTCAGAAGTTTCGACTTTCCAGCTTCTGTTCAGACTTCAGAGTTTCTATACAATGTCGTCACAGAAATTGCCCTTCCTTTACTTACAATGGCGGGCATGTCCTCGGGCCTGGTCTAAACACTCCAACTCCCCGAGTCTTCAATGTCCGAGTCTTTCGGATTTTCTATTCTATTGGCTAGTTGGAGCTTCACCTGCCCTGGTCATTTGTTTTGTCATCTGGGCTGGGGTTAGGGTTTTGCGTTGTTTGACTGCTGTCGATGCTGGTCGGTTTCCGGACCGGAATCTCACATCCGGCATCTTACTACCGTTTCTCAGTCGCGCTCAACCACCAGTGCAATCATTCTCTTACCCATATCTTAGGAATGGGAACTCAGTCACCTGCAAAGAGACCCTTCTGTCTTTCGTGCTCAAAACCCGCTCGTCTCTGTCTCTGCTCTCGCTTCAAGACCCCTTCTCTCGATAACTCGATTGCTGTCACGATTCTCCAGCACAGCCAAGAGAGAAAACACCCTCTTAATTCTACCAGAATTGCTATTCTTGGGCTCAAGAATCTCACAGTAGCAACGGTTTCCGATGTTCATTCTGAAGCACAGTTTCTCATTCGATTGCTGAAGGCGAATTTCGAAACCACTTCGGCTGCGTCAGAGGCCAATAGTATATTTTGCAGTTGTCCAAACTACGTAAAAAGACCAAATTTTGATCGACATTGGGGATTCCAAACACTCCAAGAGCCGTTATTTGAAGGAGACCTTGAACTCCCTATCGTTGGCACCAAGTTGGGAAACAGAAATGAGGAAACATCAGATTTTTTGCAGGTTTTGGTGTCTCCGGAGGAGAAACAACAGGCATTTTCGACAAGCAATCAATCTGTTTTAGAAGTAGACCATGAATCCACTATCAGTAGAAGCAATGGTAGAAGTGGTTCAGTTAATTTGAAGATCCCTCAAAGCTACCTAGAAAAGCAATCAGATTCAGATCAGGTTTTAGCTCCCACTACGTTAAATAGAACAGTTTCTGATTCCCAAAACCAAGGTGCCATACCCCAGCCAGAGAACCTTCTTGGAGCAGAAACAGATCAAATTGAAGAGGCCCCAACAGGTGAAAAGGAAACCCTCATCACTGCTACCATTGCCAAATGTGGTTACACTTGCTCTCTTACCCATCTCCAAACCCCTCAAAACGACTATAAGAAACCAGATTTTGATCGGCTTTTAGACTCTCAGGCAGGTCAAGACGCCATCTCAAATGGGTTTGTCGTGAAAAAGTTGCAGAAGAGGAAATTGGATGGGAGCATGGAGTTCGAAGAGTGTGAAGAGTTTGAGATTGCGGTTCCTCCTGGAACAGCCCTTCTCTTCCCGACCAAGAAATCAATCAGCTTAGAGGCCGTTGATTTTCCGGTGAAGGGCTTGATTGTTTTGGATGGAACATGGGCAAAAGCGAAGAGAATGTACCATGAGAATCCATGGTTGAAACTTTTGCCGCATTTGAAGTTGGATCCAAGCAAGTTGAGCTTGTACAGCGAAGTGAGGCATCAGCCTAGGGCCGGATGTCTGTCCACCATAGAAAGCATCGTGTGTGCCCTTAAGGCATTAGGAGATGATGGCGAGGCTCTGGATGATCTCTTGGATGTGTTCGAATCAATGGTGGGAGACCAGAGGCGATGCAAAGACGAAAGATTGAACAAAACTTCTCCGCCATGAGATTTTTACACCTACTGTAATTCTTAATTCTTGGTCGATGCAACTTGAAGTATATTTTAATTGATTGATTATATTTCTTGATGATCTTCTCAAATTATTACTGTAGACTAGTGTAGCAAGCTGCTGTTCCATTCCAATCCCATAAAGTAAGGTCGTTTGATTCAATTCTTCTTCAGTTCCAATTTCATTCAACAAATCTCACCATGCAGCTTTGAAATTACAGGGAACACTTGCCAGCCAGCCAGAGCCAACCTCATTCTTAAACACTTAAACTGAATTGCTTGCTACTCATTGTTAGTGCTGCAATATGATGATTACCCGGTGCACTAACTGGCTGATGCATGGGCATGGTACTTCTGCTTCTTGGTGCCAAATTATTCTTTATTTTCTTCCTTTTGGGAGTAAGAAATCAAACAGGAGGTTTAATCAATTATAGAGCTGCTCTTGTTGCAGCTCAAAGAGCAAAGATGTTTACTTGTTTAGTGTCATTCCCCTTTCATTCCATTCTATCCAGTGCCATGCCTATTGCTAAACTTTGAGCCCTCAAATAATTTCTCACCATCTCTGTGTATGCCCATATCATCTTAGTCTACCTCTCCAAGGTTCCTTTGTATAAGCTCATCTACGATCCTATCTTTTTCTAGTTCTTTCATTAATCATCTGTTTTGGGCATGTTGTTTCTTGGTTGCCCTACCCTTTGTTCCATAAAACATTGCCAGCATTATAACCATTTTATAAAAAAATATGGCCAAGTGGTATTCATTTATCACACAAAATTCTTAGTACTCTTTCTATTTTATTCATCACTGATCACACCTTAATTCCAAGTACTACATCCTTCTCAATCTCATTTGTTACGAATTATCAAACCAAGGTAATGGACCAATGAAAGTAGTCACATTGAGATATTTCTTGGTTTTCATTCTTGAGTGTATCCTAATTTCCACTCTTGTTATTATTGAATTTACATTGCACATTGCTCTACTTATTTTTAAAACTAAACAGATATATGCATTACTTAATCTTAGCACGATTTGATATTAAGAATCAATTTGATTCTAAATGCATCACATAGTTTACAAAAAATGAAGTAGATTTTATATTCAAGCAAATAATCAACTAAATTGATAACTTAGGGGGAGTTCTATAACGTGAATTGTTTCTCTTGTTGCCGGTTCCAAAAATAAATCAAAACTATCTAGTTTGAAAAACAGATTGTTTCTTAAAACAATAACACAAGAAAAAAACATGTTCCTGATTGTGTTTATTTTTTTCAAAACTGAAACCAAAAACATCTTCTTGAATCTAATTTCAAAAACATGTTTTTATTTCGTCATTTAACATCATTCTCCATGCTCATATATTTTTTCTTTTTGATCAATACCATAAATCATATAATTTATATACTAGATTTAAAAAAAAAAACCATTATTTTGTTGGTTTAAAAAAATGTACCGTTTGTTTGAAACAAAACCAACTTATTTTTTGCTTTGAAAACAAAAACAAGGCTCGATAATATATTTTTGTTTTTTTTTTCTGATGTAGAAAAACAAATGAAAACAAAAATATTTGTGTAGATAACACCCCCTTAATTAATGATAACATAAGTTGCATATCAACATTTTCATTTTATGTTTTACATGCAGAACAACCTAATTAAACGCTCATCTACTCTTTATGCTTGGCAATTAAATGTCATAGCTGGATTATTTGCATGTGGATGAAAAAAAGTAGGTCATGATACATGGAATATTCACCAATTAACTAGTGATTATTGGACATTCGGATATTTTTCAAACTTGTCAAACTATTTGAGACCTTTGAAAAGGTCATTTTTTTTCCGTATACAATGTACTTACTAGTAAATGTGTACATGCTTTGCACGTGGCAATTTCAAATGATAACAACAATAATAATAATTGTATATATATATATATGGTGATTTATTGCCTTTCAACTCAAAGGCTTGTATTAAATATTCTTACTCTATAGCTTATATTAATATTTTCAATTTATTGTGTTAATTTAACCATTACTTGCCCAGAGACCAATCACGCTAATTGAATAGTTACTTGATGTGATAGAATAGACATTAATTTTCTTTTTTCATAATTTTTGTATTCAATTTCCATCTTTTAACAAACATGATAGTGGTTTCATTGCTAAAGCAGCTTTAAATTCTGTATTCCATTTCTATTATTCATAAGATTCTTATCTATGGTACCTAAAAACCGGTTTTGTTTCCAAGTCAAATTTGAATACATAAGTTTTATACTATTAAAATTGTTATTCACAAATTTAATTAGTGAAATTTTATGATGAGAAACAAAAATACATTAAACATATGATTCTATGAGAGAGAATGGAAGTTAACCTTAAGTATGAGACTTAATGAGAGAGAATATAATGAAATGAAAAATAGTATTCGATTTACAATTTATATCTTCATAATAGAGAGAGAGAGAGAGAGGATTTAAGAGAGGGGTATTTTAAGTCAAGAAAAAGTCCAAAAGCCTTAAAGATCTATTGTCACTTCTTATAGATTCCAAGTAATTTGTAATTCATCTACAAATCAACATGTAGCTCCAAGTGTCTAGAGTAATTAAATTTGTCTAGCTAAATACTCCATACAATTTAAATTACATTTCATTGAGTTTTGTTATTTATAGATGTCTATTTAGACACATTACGAGATTTAAAAACAAAAAAAAAACATGTCGTGAAGTTATTTAAGAAGCATAAAAGAATTCCATTTTTATCCTTTTATACAATTTAGAAAGAAGTTAATAATGGAAGGCTCAATTTATCCTATTTTGATATCATTTTAAATAATCAACAAAATACTTGATTTGCCCTAAAATTCAAATACGAAAGCATTAACACAAAGGTGAAAGTACTTCTTATAGATTTTCCAGACACTCTAGGGCTTTTTAGTGATTTTCCCAAAAATAAAAGTCATTAATTTGTAAAGCCTTATCTAACATGTCTTACAATTTTGCTCCCTTGCTTTCTCTTGGGACTCAAATGAATTGACTTTGAATTTTAGCAATCCTTTTGAGGGTATGTTCATTTGAAATAAAGGAATTACATTTTCTTTTTGTTTGTTTGTTTTTTTTTTTTATTTGCTCCATGGGGTTACACAATGGGGGTGGCCCAAGGTTCAAAGTATCGATACAATACGAGTTTCAGCCGTATCGTATCGGCACTTAGAAACGACCGAAACTCTTTTTTTTTTTAGTTTTTTTTCAAAGTTTGGTTTTTTGGAAAACTTATAACCTATTTTTTATTATTAAAAAAAAGTAGGGGTTCGAAACACCTGGAAACAAGCATTTCGGACTGTATCGTTCTCAAAAGATACGTATCGTATCAATACTTTGAACCTTGGGGTGGCTCATTCCCCTAACCCATAACCCCCAACCTACGTGCATGTGGGATTTGATCCAAGAAACCTTACTGACTAGCCAGTTGGCGCCTTGTAAATAGAAGAATAACATTCAAAACTTATTTGATAAGGATCACTCTTTCATCTTCAAAAAGAGTTTTCAATTTCCAACCCTAAATTTTCTTCTTAATTTTAGTTGTGATGTTATTCAAAACCTTCTTATCAATTATGCCTTGAATAATTAGGGCACCCAAGTATTTTTCTTTGTTTGTTGATATTGGATGCTCATAATCTTAGAAATCAATTTTTAAATTCTATATGGCAAATTTTTTTAGAAAAAAAAGACTTTTTGAAATGGATATTTCGGATGAAACCCTTTCAAACATCTTGAGATTGAGTAAAAACCACTTATAAACCAATGGAAAAGCTAACCCAAAAACATAATCAAGATCGTGGAATACCACACTCAAAATCCGCATTTTAAAATCATTAAATAGTGACAATTGGACCTACTTTTAAAAATGACCAAATAACAATGATTTTGTTCAATATTAATTAAAAAAAGAGAGATACATCTAGCTAAACACTCCATGAAATTTTAGTTATAATTCATTATTAATTAAAAGAAAGATAAATACATCCAACTAAACACTCCATGAAATTTCAGTTACAATTCATCCAAGTAACTCTTTTAAAACAACCAATAAAATATCAAATTTATCCTCAAATTTAGATATAAAAGCACTAACACAAAGGGGCAAAATTTGTCCAATTAAAATTCCATAAATTTTTAGGGGCTATTCGTACTTTTTAAAGTAGTACAGAATTAGGTTGCGTTTGTTTGGAGTGTAAACCTCATAGATGTAAAACTCCATTGATGGAGTTTCACACTGAATCATTTAAAAAAAAGTGAACCATTGAAAAAGTGATCATTAAAAAATGTGACTATTGATGTAATACTACATCGGTTTTGTCGATGTAGTTTTTACATTGATAACCGATGTAAAACTTCACTAAAAGTGACGTTTTACATCGATTTATGATGTAAACCAAACCTTCATCCAAAGGCCAACAAAACTGGACTGGTGGTGACATTTTACACCACAAACAAACTTAGCCGTAGTGCAACACAAATATTGTCTAAGTAATCTTTTCACTTCATTGCTGAATTTGTTTATAAGTAGTTCAAGTAGTAGTCCTTGGACAAATTGAGAGGAATGTATGAGTGCATGTTGGTGAAATGAACATCTAGCCTCTGAAAAGCAGAAATTTAAAAGTTCAATAGTTAGTCCACAATCATTATGAAGGTTATGAGCTCATCAATGGTTAAGGCTGAAGTTGGGTTTATGACCATACCCTAAGACGAGTACGAATCACCTGCCAATAAAATACATTCCAACACCCTACCAATATTATCTCACACCACACATCTCATGCATGATGGGTCCCACTTTTATGTTGGGCCCCAGTTTTATAGTGAGATGTGTGGTGTCAGATCATGTTGGTATAGGATGTTGGAATGTGTTTTGTTGGCAGGAGATCCCAACTCCCCTAAGACATTTAATCAGGGCTTGTTTAGTAAGGCTAAGGTTAAGATTCAGTTAAGTTGGTTCAATTGCTTTGAAGCTCTTTAGATAAGTTACTCATAGAGGCTAAAGTGGAGCCATTTCAACCATGATGATCTATGAATTTACATAGGATCTCCACTTCATTGCCCTTTAATTTAATAATTGCATGCTAGTGTCCTAGTGATATAAATAAAAAAGTAGATGAAATAATATTTTGACATAAAAAGTAGATGACCAAATTCAGCCCTCACAAAATTTGTGCTCACACCATCTTCAAAACACTTATAGCCATGCATTTGGGACATCTCTATTCATGGGGAGATGTTTCCAATGCATGGTTACAAATGTTGTGAGGGGTGTGAGGATGGGGTTTAATCAAATATAAGGTAGATGTAAATTTCATTTGTATTGTTAATAATTGCCCTATCCAAAATAGAATTACAAAAATGAGAGGCTGAATAGTATTACTAAATTAAACTAAAAATGATCAAAATATTATATATCACTAAAAAATAAATAAAAAATGACTTTGATATTATATATCATTAACTTATGAATATTAAAAATTTGTGAAACTTGAACAAATGACTATTTTAACAAAAGCATAACATTCAACCCAACTCACAAATAAAATATAAGTTATAGGTACATTAAGTGTATTATATGGATATTTGCCATGGATTCTGCATAGGCATAAAAGTTAAATCCCATATATCTATATAGTTAATACTTCCACATATATCTATATAGCAAATAATTACCTTCATTCTGTTTTAACATGTAGGTCATAAAAATTAAATTTGAGTATATAATGTTTACTTTAAAACAACTTTTACATTAACATATTTAAATCACAGTTTTACAATCGTCATTGACATGATTAATTGGAATGTTTGGCAAAAAAAAAAAAAACAGTATAACTTTGGTGGTGGGGCCAACAACCTATGCTGTTGAGAGTGTTGTTGGACTAGACAGTTAACCCATTCACACCCATATTTATCTTTTTTTGTCAAAAAAGGGAGCAATTACTATTTTACCCCACTCTCATGGGAATGTGGCATTCCTAAGAATGTTCTCAACAGCATAGGGTGTAACAACCAAAGATTCCATTTCAGTCATGAATTGTTATTTTTTAATTTTAATAAAAACCATTGAATTAGTCAATATCTTATTGACTTAGGCATAGGCTGCAATAGATTGGATCGGATTCAGTAAGGGTATATCCGATCTAATCTGTTAAGAAAATCCAATTGATTTGAATTTGATAAGAATTTGTAGGATTTTTAATAACATGATTTGAATTTGAATTTGAATTCGAATATATTATCGAATATTCGATTCAATTAGAATTGTGATAAAAAATTTGATGTTGTAATATAAATAATATATTATATTATTTATATAATATAATAATATATTAAAATATAATATATAATATTTCATAATTAACGAATCAGATTGGGTCATGGCGGATCAGATTAGTCTGCATTCAAATTCGATCCATTTTCTAATCCGATCTGATTTATTAGGATCAAGAGGAATATCCGAATCCGCCTCTTATCAGATCGGGCTCAGAGTCGGATCAGAGCTGATCCGACTTATTTACAACCCTACTTAGGCAGTTGACATGTTGAGCTCGAACCATAGTTTTTGGGGGCTTTTTTTTTATCTTTTCAAAACGTCATGAGTTGATCCCTTTGGGCTGGATAGCCAAACTGCATGAAAACCAGTGGCCAAAGTAGTTTTTCTTATAGTTTAGTTTTAAAACATCGGGGTGGATCCATATTTGAACTAACTATTTAACACTTTTAAGGCTATGTTTGGTGATTAGGTATTTAAGTGGTTTGAAAAAAGTGCTTAATCTAAGTACTTATTTTAACAATTACTTAATGTTGTTTGGTGACTCATTTGCCAAATCACTTATTAAGTTTTTTAAGCACTTATTGGAGTGGAGATGTTTGGTGGGCTACTTTATTCACAAGTGCTTATTTTTAGCATAAATGACAATTTTAGTCCCATTTTATTCACATATATAAATAATGCTTTTCATATATTATATTATACATTTCAAGGAAACTTGCCACATCACTATGTTGTGAGACATGAGAGCTCATGTGGGCCCATACTTTGAGTACCATGTGGACCCTAATAGAAAAAAAATAATGATAACAACAACAACAAAATTAACAACAACAACAATAATAATAATAATAATAATAATAATAATAATAATAGTAATAGTAATAGTAATAGTAACAAAATACAAATAGTAATCAAGAAACACCAAAATTTAATCACATATTTCAGCACAATTTTTATTCATATTTCAACATATTATGATTCACATATTTCAGCATACTATTATTTATATAAAAAAAATCAAGGAAACATATTTCAGCATATTATTATTCAAATATTTAAACATATTATTATTCAAATATTTCAGCACATTATTATTCAAATATTTCAGCATAATGTTTATTCACATATATCAGCATAATTTTTATTCATATTTCAACATATTATGATTCAAATATTATAGCATATTAATATTCATATATAAAATCATGAAAACATATTTCAGCATATTATTATTCATATATTTCAGCATAATTTTTATTCATATTTCAACATATACAATGTGCAATAAAAATTAAAAAAATATAGTATCACAAAAAATTAATAAAATAATCAACTATCGGGTTAAGGTAAAAAAAGAAATTTGGAAAAACATCACCAAAGAATTAACACAAAATTCCATAAAATGTTTAACACAATTTTGCAATAATATTTAGCACAAGATGGTTAGCACAACCGAACTAAAAATTCCATAAAATAATTAACACAAAATTCCATAACATATTTAACATAAAATAATTAAACACAAAATTCCATAACCCATTATTCAGATTATGCAAAACGATCAACATAAGATAATTAACACAACCGAACTAAAATTTCATAAAGTAATTAACACGAAATTCCATAAAATATTTAACACAAAATTCCATTAAATATTTAATGCAAGATAATTAAATACAAAATTCCAACATGCACCCATTATTCTGATTATGCAAAATAAAATAATTAACACAACCGAACTAAAAATTCGATAAAATAATTAATACAAAATTCCAAAAAATCTTTAACACAAGATAATTAAACACAAAATTCCATCATCCATTATTCCAATTATGCAAAATAAGCAACATAAAACTCTCAAGTTACTTTTTCAATAAGCACTACTTTCTCAAATAAGTACTTTTTCTTTACTTTTTTATCAAATACCCACAAGTGCTTATTTTCCATTTAATGTGTGGTCCCAACACTTAAATTAAGTATTTATAAAAAAAAGTACTTATTACAAGTAAAATCAAACAACACCTAAATAAGTTGGCTGGAGTGGACCGAATTTAAATAAACGGATGGCACTTTACTTTGTGACAAACTTTCAAAGGTTAATTAAGTAAATTCTCTAGAATAGTTTCAAGTTCCAATTGAGTCTAGATCACCTGCCAGGCTGCCAACGAAAGATATTGCAACCCTCTACCATCATACATGGGTGGGCCTCATTCTCATGGTGAGATGTGCGGTGTTAGATCAAGGTTGGTAGAGGATTGGAATATATTTTGTTGGCAGAAGATTCCAATTCGTTCCAACTTTTAAGATTGCGCTCTAAGGCAATAACACATTCGGATCAGGTCCCAACAACCATTGCAGTTGTGCATTCGAAATATCTCCATTTTCCATGTTCCGGATGCATGGCTGTTGGGACCAATTCGGACTCCGACCCGTTAGTCTTTTTCACGGTCCCGCCACATTCCCTCCCTTCAAATTCAAAACTCGCATCCATTTCTGTTTCGGTTCCAAAACACGAACACAGACACAGACACAGACTCAGAGAGAGAGAGAGAATGGAAGGAGAGCAACATTCTCCTTCACTATCACCAAACCCTAATGCGTTTCTTAGAGATATCTCAAACTTCAAAACTCCAAAATATTCCTCCCATAACTCGAAATTTCAGTTACCGTTTCCCAATTATTTTACTGCCTCCAAACAAACTCCATCTTCGTCTTCATACTCTGCATTCCGTCGCCGGCCTTCTCTTGCTCCATCATCCCGATCGAAAGCCGCTCGCAAGCTTAAAGCATTCGAGCTCGAGCAGTCTCAGTCTGCCCGAAAAGTCCAGATTCGGAAAGAAAAATCCCTGAGGTCCCTAGCCAAATCACTTTCCGCTTGGCTCAATTTCCTATTTGAGAACCCTAGGTCTTGTGGGTGTGAACTTTCCAGCCTGACGGGTGCAGATCATTTGAAAGATCCAGGGACGGTTTTGCCAAATGGGAAGAGGGACAGCTGGCCCGGAGTTGGAGTTGGGATTGAGAGGTCCTGGAGGAGCCCAAAGCGCCAGAGGGATTCACAGTGGAAAGCTAGGGATGTTGTTGATGCCGAGCCATTGTTGTCTTCGTCGGTATTTTCATCACTGGCGGCATCATTGCAGGAAATTTGCAGCTTCGAAGATTTGAGGCAACGGATGGGGGCATATTTGAATTCAGGTAGCTGCAATGAGGTCCTCTCCGTGATGAGTCAAGTACTAAAGGTTCGTCTTCATATTTATCTCTTTCTTCTAGTCTTAGTCTTAGATTTGATTTGTTATGAAAGAGAGGATCCAGGTTTTAACTGAGTTGGTTTGATGAATGACTTTTTTAGCTGGACAGAGGTCTTGACTTGAAATGCCAACTTGAGGACTGCCGATATTCTTTTCCTAATGGCTCTTTACAGATCAATTTAAGCATAACAAGGAACAACATTTTGAGACCTTTTATCAAGCTATGTTAAGTAATAATAATATAGCTTTCACAGAAGGCAGGAGACTTTGTTCTATATAAGTATATATGATTTCTTTGCTTTCTTATTTTGAAACCCAATTAAAGACTGTTATTTTTCCCCAACGAACATTTCAACACAACAGTCTGATTTAAATATGACAAGAAACAACACTATGATAGCTCTTGCTTGGTTATAGCGAGTAATAACACTTGTAGTTTTCACAACGCAGAGGAGATCATCTAGATAAGCTCGTTTTTTTTTTTAGTTTTCATTTTCTTTCTCAGTCTCAGCCACCTTGAGCCACCCCACCCCAGTAATAGAACTGACAAACATCTATAAGCTTCAAGGAGAAAAAGTAAATATCTATATTAAATTGCATCTACAATCCAAAGCATGGAACAACATTCAATATCTTGTAGTACATTGAAATACTCACTTCCGGTCCACAAACTATCTAGGGGAAACTCATTTTCCGGTAAATGGGGGCGAGTAAGTTGGTGGGTCCCACAAGCCCATATTCATGTTTTAGTATTAGTGGGTCCCACGGAAAAGAACAATTCCCGAGCAGCTCATTTACTTGGATAAGTAATACCCTTCTAATACTTGGGTAAATAACTTTCTTGTCCACACAGGAAATTGTTTACGCATTGTCCCTTCAAAAATGGTCATTTAGTCATTATATAATTTTACCTGGCAAATAAAAGAACACTGATAATTACACTTATCTGGGTAAATATTTCCCAGGAAACACTTGCCCGGATCGAATCGAAAAACAAATGAGGCCTTAATGGTATACTTCAAGGTTCACTTTCACATTTTTTTAATCAAGACCAAATCATTATTGTGTGTTCTTGATTTCTTTTTTTATATCTTCATGCATATAACACAACTCTGTTTTTTCCCAGAATATAGATGAAGGAAGGTTGAAGATGAAGACACATTGCCCTATAGTAACTGATGTAGGGATGAAGGAAAGAGCTATAAAGGTGCTTATGTGTTATAATCCAGCATGGCTTCAAATTGGATTATATATTGTTTTTGGTGGTGACTCCTTGTTGTCCACTGGAGATTTCAATTCTGATCAAGAAGTAATGTTCTTAAAAATGGTGGTTGAGAAGCAGTTCTTTTCACATGCGGGTCTGGCAAAAACTTATGCTTATAACAAGTTGGTTGAGGGTCTATATAGACCAGGATATTTTGAGGCTCTGGGGAATGTTATACTAAAGAGGTTTCTGTTGCTTGTTCTTATACTTGATAGAGCTAAATCTCAAAGCAGTCTTCCAATTAAGTATGGTATTGATGGAATTGATGGGGGTTCTCCTCCATTGTTTGTTTCTCAATCCAATATTAAATCAACCCGGCAAGTTATACAAGGTAATATAACTGATGTTTCCTTTTTGTATTTAGTATCCTATTATTATGCACCCAGTTGGGGGTCTTGATTGTCTTTTCTGTTCCTAATTTGATTTATAGATTTCTTATCTTCGGAGGTAATGCATGGAGAAGGTAATCTTCTTGCACATCTTGTGATTATTGGCTACAAAGTATCTTATGAACAGGTAAGTGGTCCAATATGTTATGTTCTATGCTTTCTTGTATGTTGGTTTGGGGAAGCCAAACAGGTTTCAATCTTTAAGTCGGTGCTTGTGTCCCTTATTTGTTTTCTGAAAAATGAATAGGCATGGAGCTGATTTCCTATACACTGTTATAATTACATAGTATATTTTAAATGATTGGTTGATCAAACAAACTTGTGCTGCAGTATCCGCTTGTTGAATACGATTTCAGAGTGAAAGAGTTATTTGACGATCTCCAGGATGGGGTGCGACTCTGTAGAGCCATTCAGCTCTTGCAATCTGATGCTTCCATTCTCACGGTTGTTCTATTTTCTGTTTATTTTTTATGTTCCTTGCCAATTCGATTTTAGGGGGAAACTAGTTGATTGCTTTGCGGTTTGATAATTTAAATATTTGACTATTATATGGCCAGAAAATGACAGTTCCTTCAGATACTCGTAAGAAGAATGTAGTGAACTGCAGCATAGCTATGCAATATCTCAAGCAGGCTGCTGTGCCATTAAGTGATGAAGATGGAGTGATGATTTTAGCAGAAGATATTGCTAATGGAGACAAGGAGCTTATATTGTCCATGCTCTGGAACATCTTTATTCACTTACAGGTCTGCTTCTTCTCTTGTTTCCTTGAATCTTTGGAATTTTGAATGTGAATCATTCTTTACTTTCATCATTGACATATTTGATGTTAGTAAGCTATCTGTAGTGTTCTGTTCATTAAGGTTGTTTCTTCCTAGCAGTGTTAATGGGTTGTGTTGGATCCAGGAATTTCCACCCACTATTCTTTTGTTGGTAGATCACTTGTGTCTTTTGTTCTTAGTGGAATAAACAAATTGAATGCTTGAAGTTAGTTTATCAGTTACGCTGGTGTCACTGATGGCATTTCTTTTGTGTTCTAAAGATGTTTATTTTGTTTATTTTATTTTTTCTTCTACAAATAACCGAATTTATTGATCTGGGAACTACATGGCTACTGTTTTCTTTAGGTAGATGCAAATTGATGTTTTATTTTTCTATTTGTCTTTCCATAAGACATTCTACCATGAATAAACTAGTTGCTATACTTGTTTTGTTGAAAAAAAATCACAACTTGGTTTTTGTATATAGCTTAGATGATATGCTGCTGTACTTGTTAAATGTAATTATTATAATGTCCCAGACTGACTATCATCATCTAATTCTGCAGTTACCATTGCTAATCAACAAAAAACAGTTAATTGAGGAAATATCCAAAGTTAAAGAGGCTAACATGGTATGTACTTTTTCTATGCACTGTACTTTTTTTCCCAACTGTTTAAATGTTCACAATTGGGATGTGACATGCCCATCTAAAATTATTACCCTATCCTAATGCAAGCTAGGCAACACACTCTCACTTATCAATATTTTATTCAATTTAACCTTTTGATTTATTGCTTTCTTTCATATTTTCTACATTTTTAACAAACATGCAGTTACAGTACTCTTTTTCGGTTCTTCAGGACCAGTCAAATTATAAGACATCTACTCTTATGGAAATGCTTCTGGAGTGGATCCAGGTATTGCTTATCCATAAGTAGTTATGTAAACACATTGTTTGGTCTGTTTTGTGAAAAGTGTTTGTTTATGCAATCTCAAAGGGGTTCTGGTTTATGCAATCTAAAACACATTCTTTGCCATGCATTCACAATTTTGTAATTCTACTTCAGTAATTTTTTAGACATGTTTCTTTGCAACTGCCTAACACTCTGTCATACAACATTTTTGGCTTATATCCCACTAAGAGGCAGATGTTACAATGTCTTGCTAAAAATACCATACAGCATTTGGTTTTCTCACAATTCTTTAGATTGACTGTTTTATGGTCTACTTTTAGAAGTGAAAGACTGGTAAACCCCACCCCCTAACTGAGAATAAAACTGCTCGCGTTTTAGTTGGTTTAGACAGTCAGTGTAAAATGTGAGCTATGTAAAAGCTTTGCTTTGTTTTTTGTCTTCTTTTCTGGTTAAGGAATAGCTTTGGGAGATGTTTGTCTACATGTTACTAATTTATAAGTTCATTTTGTTTGAATGGAACCAACTGCAGGCAATCTGTCAAATGTATAGCATCAAGGTCGACAATTTTTCATCTTTAGTTGATGGTAAAGCAATGTGGTGTTTGATTGATTATTACTTCAGCAAGGAACTTCATTGTTGTTCTTATAAGGTGAACTTAACCATTTTCATTCCTGTTTTTCCAACATCTATAAGGTCTTTTGTTTTTCATTCTAAATTTCCATACACCATTTATTTCTAGGAGACTCAAGATACCAGTAGCAAAAGATCAGTTTTTCTGACAACAGATAATACAGATGTCATACATAATTTTATTTTATCTCAGAAGCTCACAACAATGGTGGGAAACTTTCCTGAAGTAAGTGCTCATACCTAATTGCATAGTCAAATTCTTACTGCAGAACCATATTTCATGTTCTACTTTTTGGTTTACAGGTGTTGCAAATAAGTGACATACTTGAAAATAATGGCCCATGTAATGAACGAAGTGTGATAATTTTGTTGGTTTTCCTCTCATCACAACTGATTGGCAGAAAGAATATGGTAATGTTTGAAGTATGTTGAAAGTAATTATTTGGGATTGTTTGTCCATTCTTTAGAATTCTCATTGATGGCCTCTATCTCTTGTTTAGGATCAACGCAATATTCACAAACTTCTGGGATGTAATTGTCAAAGTCCAGACAGAAGACAACCAAACCTGGTGAAGTGCTACCCAAATTCAGAAAGACAAGTGAAAGACAATGGACCGGATGACTACAATAATGAAGGTTTCACATTGTTTATTTTCTAGGAGGTTTGCATTAGTGTATGTGTATCATTTAGCTAAGAGCCTAGGTCTTTTTCTTGCTCTTGAATGATATTTAAGCATGGACTTTATCCTACATGGAATGGTCTTTTATTTTGTATAGTTGTTTGGGTTTATTATTCTCTTGACCCTTCATCTTTATCATAGTAGGTTTTAGGATTCATAGTTTCATACCAATATCTTGTTTTCTTCTTTATATAAGTACATTCAATTCTTGCATCAAAATATTGTAAAAGAACAATAAGATTCCTAGATCCATTGAAAAGAAAAAAAAATTAACAGTAGCTATATTGCACTTCAAAATGGGTTCCATGTTGGAGTTAAAAACTTCATTATTCAACATAAAAATCTGTATTTTCATTTTAACCATAGTACCATACCATGTTGGAGCTCAGAAGACCAGCAACATCACATGGTTTAACATACTGAGTTGATATATTCTTGTTTTCAAATACAACCATGAATTTTATTAGATGCAGTAGCCATGGAAAACTTTTTTAACTTGATTTTGTAACCGCCATGTTATTATATTCATGCTAGAGTGCTATTGTTTACTGTATTAAAGAGTAAATACCTTTTGCTAATGTAGAAAATCACTGGTGATGTGGGACTTGGCTTGTACTGTATACATGATTTTCAATGGTATTCTTACTGGGTTATTTTATTTGCATGGGTAAAAATCTTAATGCTGGTATTTTCTGATTTCTTGCACTAAAAAGTCTGTGAGTGACCTTTACCAATGAATTTTTTTTTTTTGTATACATACAGATGCTGTGAGAAAGTTTAAAGTCATTCAAGCTTGGTGGAGAGATATGGCTAAGAGAAACCACAATTGTGAACTTAAACCACCTGCTTGTGTTGTACAATGCCATGTAGCAAACAAATATAGCATTGACTTTCAAAGAGGTACCTCCTATGAACTTTTGGTACACAAATATAATGTCGGAAAATTTTCTTCCCATATCGATGACTCATACAAGTAATCCACAAATTGGCCTAACCGAGCATTGTACTGCAGCTGACCCTGTCTGCTAATCTTTGTTTCTCTTATTTCCTTTTTTTTTCTTCACACAACTGAATTTCTATTTATTTGCACAAGAATTTGCTGAAATGTTTCTTCAAGTTGTAATTTGTGATATGCCAACTTCTACCCAATTCACCAAAACCAATATCAAGGTGTATTTGTTGCATTTGGTATTTATTTGGTTGAGATGAATTGTCTTGATCAGGGAAATCCAGTTTTTTTCTGTCATTTCCCACTCCGGATTTGCTACCCACAAACTGTTCCCACATCATCACCTATAGAACATCACCGCTATGTGTTGGGAACATCTGAAGGGATGAGAGATCCATCATATGGATGGCCGAACCCTACAGGAAGGTTGGGCGAAATTTAAAAAGTTTCTTTCTCCCATGTGGGAATCACATTCCTTATTTTAGAAAATTGCATTTTCAAGGATCAATCTTGAATCCAAACCAGACTAGATCTGAAACCAAAAGGGAGTGGAGAGATATACCTGATACGAAGTAGTAATAACCTCCAATGAAGGTGTTCACGCCCAAGGAAAAATCCAAAGACTGCTTCCACCGAAGATGACACGGTGCAAGATGAAGCAGAATTAGTAGGATGGTTCTTTAACAAGAACTGAATTCTTCAGCAAGAATCTGATGGAGGGTTAGTGAGCACGACTTCAAATTACCTTTTCTGCCCAAAGGTAATATCAAGAACCCTTCTTGATCGCTCCCACAGGTGGAGATCGAACTGGTATGGCGGCAAGAGCAGTAAAGAGCAGAAGACAGGAGCAGTCGAACTGTAGATTCTTCTCTCTTTGTAACCTCTGAACTGAGAATTGTGTTTTGGAGGTTCGCCCTGCTCCTCTATTTATAGCCTTTAAAGAGGGCATCTCCTAATCCCATTAGGAGTTTCCTAATTCAAATCTTGTATTTGGATCTGGACTCTCTTTAAGAGATAAGGATAATCTCTTATCTTATCTGCAGATAAAGATCAACCTTTCTAATCAAATTAGGAGTTTCCTGATCCAAATCTTTATTTGGATCTTTCTACTCTTTGAGTGGATAGGGATAATCCCTTATCCTAATTGCTGATCTAAACTCCAGAACCGCCCCTTTTTAATTAATCTCATTAAGCCAGTTCGAATTGTGCTTTAGGCCCATTAAGTCCATCTGCTCACTTACCTTCCAAACTGCTGCCCAGTTGGATATCCTTGTATGGTGTGGGACCCAAACATTGATCTACACATCAGCCACATGGGTTCAACCCAACCTTTGTTACAAGGCTTGGTCGAAATCACTGTACGAAACAGTGAACTCCTGAGTCCATCACCATAAGCTCTTAATGGGCCCAACATTTACACTAAATGGTCCTTGGGTTAAGCCACCTTATAAAAACCCAAGGATTGTGGGCAGATGCAAGATTAGCCCATCAGGTATTACCCTTAATGGTCTTATACTTAACCTTTCAGCCCATAGTGATCAAACACTACCCGACAAGAGAGGACCTCTCCCTCGGCTGCAAGGTACAATGCTGCACTTTCTACTTACATGGATCCCGGGAATTAAAACCTTTTGCAAACATTTTGAAATCATAATATATATGTATATCTCTATATAAATATATTTTGCAAAACAAATTTCAACGGTTGAAATCAATTGCCGGCAGTTTAGGTTTCCATCAGAGAGAGTGCATCCCCGATCATTCACTTTGTCCGACAAAGGGGTTGATC